CAGCGATTCAGAAAAATGAAAAAAGACACCCGCGGTTTTTACACGAGAGAGCGGTTATTGTGTCGCAAACCGCCGGTTTTCACCGGTTTTCCTGCTTGAAAATGAACCGGTGTGACCCGTATTTTGGGCCGGTTTTATATATGAATTTTCGCGTACGGGATATCTAATATATTCACGATAACTATGTATCAAATTCAAGCCTCACAGTGGTCCTGATTTCCTGATTTTTTTAAGTCGTCCTGATTCGTCCTGATTTTGACAAAAAATCCTGATTCGGAAATTCCATCTTGAATGATGACACTGGTTTTTCAACGACCGCATTGCTTGCCTTGTTTGTGGAGTAGCCATTGCTCTTTATGAGCTAAAAATGTTGCTGAATATATGGGAAAAAGTCATCTTTTTAATACAAGATTAGACGCCATCATCGTACAAGGAAAAAGAATCAACAAACAAAAGTTAGGGCTACAAGCTGATAGTCCATCAAGAAGAATAAAATGATGCACTTTAAAATTTAAGGCGCTGCACAGACGCCAAGCGAAGCGCAACAACAGTATAGAGAGCACAACAAATTTGGATGGTTAGTTTTAAAATTTAAAGCGTTTTGTAGCAATTATGTAGTCTACCGATTCGATTAAAGTCAACAAGAAAATCAAGAAAAACTGCCAGCGTATCCTTGCTGTCTCTAACGTCTTTGCCGTTCTTAAGATCTTTATGTATACTATGAACAAATTCTATTAGTTGCGTGACTGTGCTATGCTTTCTGCGAAAACCAGATTGCATGGCATTTAACAGGTTATTTTTAGTTAGATGATCATATAGAGCATTAAACACTACACGTTCTATAACCTTCGAAAGAATGGGCAACAATGTTATGGGTCGATAGTTTTCCGGTAAATAGTGTTCTTTGGCTTTGTATAAGCTCATTTCAGCTGTATCATTCATCGTGATACAGACATAAATTGTCTCTCTCATTCTATCCTAATTATATGCAGTAGTGTCGTTGGTCTCAGTACACTAGTTCTTGGTGCGAGGCTGCCAATCTCTTCTCTCCTCTCTATCTCTTTCAATTGCCTAACCGTAATTAGTATATACCTACACGCTTACTAAATCTCGCGTGTTTTCATCTGATTCCAATATCCGCATACGTTGCCAGAATTGCGATCGAACCACTGGCCCATTGTGACTTTCTTGATAGCTTGACTTTGCATATTGATCTGCTGTAAGTCACATGAAATTGTTGAGGGTGTAGATGTACGTCTTTCGGTAAACGCCTGTCAATCCTGATTTTCGACAAAAATCCTGATTTCCTGATATAATTCCTGATTTCTTTTGCTGGAAATCGTGTCCTGATCCTGATTTCTTATGAAGGCCGCTGCAAAGCCTGATCAAATTTTCTTCTACGACAGGCTACAACACACAACATCGCACATCTGCTTTTCGTTCTTCAGTCAGATCTATACAGCACTGCAAGTGTATATCAGGATTTTTGATTCAATTCAACATGATGGTACATATTAGGATAGAACAAATATTGATCAAGTTTAGAAAAACATTTTTTTCTTATTTATGCTGTAGAAAACTCTTTTTGTCCTATCCTACGAAGCTGGAAAATCTCAGCATACATGCTGATTTCTGGTGTTGGTTGTGAACTTGCGAAATCTTCCAAAAAAGTGTAAATTTATCAGTGTTGAATGTTCTTTCTAGGTTAAACTAGAGCCTTTCAGCCTCTAAAATCGCAAAATCAAGTTTACTCTTCAGACTTTATTCAACAGTCATATCCAGACGTCCAGCGTCATTTTAAAACAGTAAAAATAAACATAAAAGTAAGATTTTTGTTCGAATCAACCTCTTTTCAACTGACAGTATTACTGAAGAAAAAGCGATTTAACAGCCATCAATTAGCTGTCAAAAAATGCAATAAAAAGCAAATTACAGCTCTTGATTGAATGAGCGATATTATAGTCTGGAAATGCATGGTTCTTGAATAAAACTGGTACAATTTACTTTTTTCGAAAAGTGATGTTTAAAAAATTCTTCAATTGGCTAACATCCAGACCATCAATACTAAGCAAATTTTTTCTCAATACTTCTAATAACACTCGCCAAGTTACTGATCCATTCTTTTAACAATCTTGCCAATACAACACTTTTTACTCTGTATTGTATTGACGGTGCTTCGCGAGACAATTGATTTATTTGAAAATGTATTTGTTTTTCATCGCGATTGTTCAATGACCATTGAGTAGAATAAGAATAAAGAATTATTCGAATTGTACATATAACATCATCTCTCAAACCACTTTGAATGTCTCTGAAAGGTTTATCTAAGTCCCCTTCAAATGTCTGTCCTTCTTCAATTAATATTTCGATGGTGTTGTAAAACAATAACAGTGTATCATGCATATCGCTTGTCATCTCAATAAGAAATTCCTTCAAATAAAAGAATGATGAAGCTCAGTTTACATTATACGAGTGACACTGTAGCAGACGTCCGCACCGAGAACTTTCTGCCCAACTTGTGCGGACGTCTACACTATTCGAACTTACTTTGCCAATATTGTTCTGTCGAGCAAAACGATGAGGCCACACTAAGCTGGGCATTTGAATATGATCAATTACCGAATCAATAAGTGAAGAGAATCTACCGGTCGTTATAATGTTACGAAACTGAAAAAGATAAATACCAAGTTTTGATTCATCAGTGTATGCAGTTCATCAATTTTTTTGCACTTACTACATGATTCTCAATAGAGTGTGCCGTTCCATTTACTTTGGTTAAGGCTTTATGAATTCTATGTAATTCACATTTAATACATAATGTTTCTACGATAAAACACAGTTGATCAGGTTTATCTAGCACTGGTGCTGTTTCAGTTGAATGAATGATAATCAAAATCAAGATTATACGTTTAAATAAACGTAATTCTAGAAAAGTAATAGAAAAAGCTTTTTAAAGTACCGTTGCCTACGAATAAAGATATGAAACGTGAGTTTATTTGTATATTCGAAATTTCTTTTAGAACAAATTCGTGCTGAACCTACTACATAGTCACTAAACTCTAACTTGGTGAAAGTAATGACGAATCTAAAAGGATGACAAGTCCTTTCGTACAGAGACGCATAATGGGATCACTGAGATAAATATCAGATGAATTTATGTTTTTCTGGTATAAACTTCTGGTACCGTCTCTTTCTCTTTCTGAATAGCCATGAAAAAAGTTAACAAAATAGAACGGTCAAATAGGCGTTTTTTAAAAGAATAAAGCGCGTCCAGTTAGCATTCTTCTGAAACGCGTTCTAAAGAGCTTCTTGGGCGACCTTCATATTTAGATTTCTTTTCACTGAAACTCAATTAGAAAAATTTTTATTTTCTTTGTTCTTTGGAGTTCAGACTTTGTTTTTTCCAAGAAAAATAGTTAAATTGCCAGCGGATCAGGAGCATGCAGAAATAATGCTCGACATTTTTGCAAAGACTTTTGCATCATATGTTATTCGCGTTATCATACTTCTCGAAGCGAATGAACAACTATATGAATTTGACAACAGTCATAAAAAGTTTCTTCATCTCGTGCGGTGTTAGACTTCCTATTCTGTGTAGTGATATAATTTATTATCATAGAGGAAAAAAATAAACGAGAACAGAACAAAAACATCGTTCTTTTTCTTTTTCTTCGTCTAACTTATTACACTCCTCCTATTCATTCAGCTATTCTCTAGCCTTATCGTCTCTCACATAACACAAGTGAGAAAACCAAGCGTTCTGCATAAAATTGAGCTACTGAATCCACTGAAGTACTGGTAACAATCATTTCTAGAAATTATCATCATGTTACGAATATGATACCAGTACTGATCAATACCGGTACCCATCGATACCAGTACTTCGGTAGTGTACTGGTACTGGTGCATGCCTAAACATATTATAAGGAACTGTCCCGCTTTACAAACAGAAAGAGGAAAAGAAAGATTAGATATGTAGGGAACCGAAGTGGAAGGAAAAAGCTTTTGTACGTACTTGTTGTTACTGAACACATCCTGCTTTTGTTAATTGAACAAACTAGATAGAATGAATTGTCAACAATCAACGCCTTTTATATACAGAGTTTAAAACACATACTGGAAAATCACATAGAATTGAATTTATGACGCAAGATACGTGTATGTACACGTATTGGCAAATACCTGATATGCATTTAGAAGAGTTACAACAAACGTCTTTTTTTGGATAATGACGTATATCTAACATTGAACATCTGTATATAGTTTTCAAAGCAAAACCACGAGTTTAAATCGCTTTTGACATATTTATTGCTCATATATTAATCTCATGCATCATGGCGGAATATAACATACTGACGTAATAGTTCACTTTGATCATAAACAATGACTCAGCATAGCTGAACCATTCCTCCTTCTTCCTCTTTCTTTTTCTGTTCAGGCTTCATTCACGGAAGTAAAGATTGATTCAATTTCCATTTATAAGCAAATAGATTGTTTTTCGGAATCATCTTTGTACAATTAATCTTTATTTGCAATATATTTACATTCATAGAAGCAGAAGACTTTCCTACTAAATGGAAGGTTGCTACAATCAATCCAACCTATAAAAAGGGTCCTAAAAATATTGTGTCTAATTATAGACCTATATCTCTCCTTAGTATCGCTAGCAAAATTCTTGAGAGATTCGTTTATAATCAACTTTCTAATTATTTGACTAACCACTTTCAGCAAGTACATGTTGGCACTGCTTTATCTACGTCTACGTCTCTATCTAGTGCTCTCCGTGGTAGTACAAGGTTCAATTCTTGGTATCTTACTTTTCCTTATTTTCATAAATGAACTACCAACTCTAGTCCAATTCCCTAGTCGAGACTCCTGGCAAAACTCCAACGGGAGTCCCAAGTTTATGAAAAACTCCAGCAGGAATCGTAAGGAGTTTTCTTCTAGTAAATCAACATTAATGTGTCAACCTTCGATGGGTGATATGTGCTGCAGTGGTACCAGTGATAGTATCTAGCACTTAATTACTAATTAGTTACATGAAATTAAAAAGATGGATCAATAGACCCATAGGGAGTCCCCAAGGACTCTCTTGAAAATCCCCGAGAACTCCCCAGGGACTTCCTTAAGAATCCCATAGAACTCCTGTGGGAGTCTTGAGGAATCCCTCTTGAATCCCTTAAAAATCCTCCATGACTCCACAGAGGATCCTGCCGGGCCCCCGTGACAGGACTCCTGCTGACTCCTGTAGGACTTTTTTTCCAGGACTCCTGCGGGAGATTAATCAGGAGTCTCGACTAGGGTTACCAGCAGACAGCATACTTTTCGCTGATGACTGTACAGTCTACTGTCCAATGGCCTCGTCTGACATGCCTACTCTATGCCAAAAGAACATTGAGAAAATATGTAACTGGTGTACCTCAAATCTGATGTCTTTAAATGCAAATAAATCTGCCTGAATGTTTATCTCTAATATACCCAGCAGAGTCAATTCTTTACAGTTTACATGGAGTGATGGTACAATCATAACACACGAACTTGCCCTTGTACTCTTCGGCCTTAAAGTCAGTTCTAATCTGAGATGGCGCGAGCTTATTGAAGATGTTGTAGTAAATTGTAGAAAGCAACTAGCCGCTATGTATAGACAATTTAAAGATGCACTGTCTTCAATGCCTCTACTCTCTTAAAGAAAAAAGAAATATCTTAAAGGTTTCGTGGATCATTTCTGAATTTTTACTGGTTTCGCATTTTTATACTGAATCTCTAGGAGTTTTGTAGATCGAAAGGTTTTGTGCTCAATGTACGAAACTAGACAAGGTTTCGTATTTAAGTTGGAAAATGCAAAAGGTTTCGTATTTAAATTAGAAAATGCAAAAGGGTTCACCCGTATATGAATACAAAAGCCCTTTGTATACGTACAAAACCTGCTTAGACTTTGTGCAGCAACATCTATTTTAGTTATATTGTTAGCGAAAATAAAACGCATATGAATATATATGTGTTTTTTGTCTAAAAGTAGTAAAAATAGGACAGATCTATTCTCAAAAAGTCTTTGAACTTAAAGTATTTTGGCGACGCATGATTCAGTCAGCATATATTGTTGAAAAAGGAAAAGTTTTATTTTATCTATTTTATTTCGTTCTACACAATTGTATTTCTTTTTATCTGTTATTTTGAATCAATTATCGTCGGTCACATTTGACTGATGATGTCTTTTGAATAAAGATGAAACGTCTAACAGAAAATAGTCTATTTTCATGCTTAATGAAGGTGGTTTATCTCTTATTATCTGCATCTTTTTTGTCAGAAAAGAGAATGAAATGCTCCTCCGTTTGCAGAGTAGAAAAGTATTTGTTCTGAACAGGTGGTTGAATGGTTGGCATACTTTAATACAGATTCATCAGTAATGAAATATTTTGAAGGTAATTAATATATGTTTTTAAATCAATTTTTTTTGTACTCTCTGTTCGTCATCCACTCAATCACATCACACATTTCGTCGTTTTTTTCAACAATAGACGGATTCAAGAAACATCACACGAGGTTTAGGTAAAGCGATTAAATTACTGATTCAACATGACCAAATACAAACAAAAGTACACATAGCAGCCCTCTATTTTGAGTGGAGGTAACACAGTATTTTGTACGGGATAGGCCGAGTGAACAATGTGTTTTAGAAAGTGAATGTCAATGTAAAAGTTGGTCAGCAGTAGGGATGTTCGCGGTTCCGGACGTTCACAAGAATCGAGAACCGAACATCCCTATTTAGTAGACAAAACTGCAGAGCTAGTAAGGTACTACCAGCCGTCTTAAGTAACAGACATTCAAAAGAGGCATAAAAATAGAATTAAGCACAGTTAAGAACTAAACAACAAAGAACGTTTTCCAGCAAAGCATTAATTATGAATCATTTTGAATAAAACTTTGTATGCGATCTTAAGTACATATCAACTATTCGTTAACCAAATTATGAAGTACTTGCACATTGTGTTCAAGAAATATACAAGAAAAAAATAGTGAGATTTTTGTAGTAAATAGCTCGCTAGGAAAATCACTGAAATTTATTGAATATTTGAAAGTAATATTGATTTTTTTCCCGCAAATCCACGATAGATTATTCTACAATGGTTTGTCTACTACAGTAGTACCGGCGTACAAGGTTTAAGATGTATAGATAGAAAGAGTTTGAAGAAAAATCGATCCTCATATTAAACACTCTGTATTCTCTAGCATTTATCACTAATTTCTATAATGATTTCTAGTTTATTCTACATTTGTTGAAGCCACGATGTGAGAGTTTTAAAGCTGGGTTAGTACATAGTTGATATTTAACCACATCTATACACAAACTTTCATCGTAGTGTAAGTGTACGATTTAAAGTTTCACTTGAAAAGAGTGTCTGTAGCACCTTACTAGCTCTGCAGTTTTGTCTGCTAAATAGGGATGTTCGATTCTTGTGAAGGTCCGGAACCGCGAACATCCCTACTGCTGAACAACTTTTACATTGACATTCACTTTCTAAAACACATTGTTCACTCGGCCTATCCCGTACAAACTCATCACAACATCCGTTATGAATTAGTCTTTTGAAAAGCAAAAATGTATAGTTTTACAGCGCTGCAAAAGCTAATTCGAATAAGGTAGTGTTTGATTATTTCCAGAGAATTGTTAATTTACAAATAAAAATATAAATCGCTGAACTGTGCCTAATTATCGTTATTCAGGATTAATTAATTATTAATCTATCTCCTAGCATAGTTTTTCTGAAATATCTGAAATGCTATGATAACTATAAATGATTCCTGATCTAAATACACTAGAATCATGTTTGTATAATTAGTTTTGATTAAACAGTTAAGGTTTTAAAGATAGGCGCAGCAATTAAATTTTTTCTAAAATTTTATTAAGTAAGTTATAACTCTGTGAATACTTATCCGCCTCCGAAAACAATTCAGAATATATACAATCAAGTGTTCTATACAATCTGAGAAGATTTAACAGTACCTTTTGTAGAGATCTACCTCACAAGAAGAAATGGCGTTGAAAAAATGTCATTCTATAAAGGGCGGATTCTGAGAAGTCTTTTTTGTTATCTTCGACTATTGTTTGTTGTAAATGGGC